GTGATGTGTACTGTGTATGTACCTGTGTTGTCATATGCTAGGTTATGTGTACTGTGTATGTACCTGTGTTGTCTTATGCTAGGTGATGTGTATTGTGTATGTACTTGTGTTGTCTTATGCTAGGTGATGTGTATGTACCTGTGTTGTCTTATGCTAGGTGATGTGTACTGTGTATGTACCTGTGTTGTATTGTGCTAGATGATGTGTACTGTGTATGTACCTGTGTTCTCATATGCTAGGTGATGTGTACTGTGTATGTACCTGTGTTGTCCTATGCTAGGTGATGTGTATTGTGTATGTACCTGTGTTGTCATATGCTAGGTGATGTGAACTGTGTATGTACCTGTGTTGTCCTATGCTAGGTGATGTGTATTGTGTATGTACCTGTGTTGTCATATGCTAGGTGATGTGAACTGTGTATGTACCTAGCTGTGTTGTATTATGCTAGGTGATGTGTACTGTGTATGGGCCTGTGTTGTCCTATGCTAGGTGATGTGAACTGTGTATGTACCTGTGTTGTCCTATGCTAGGTGATGTGAACTGTGTATGTACCTGTGTTCTCATATGCTAGGTGATGTGTAATGCAGATCTCGTGATGTTGTCTCTGGACATTTATATCCATTTTGTCCAAAGGGGAATAATGTAAATGGTTATTTTCTGTGTAATATGAAAAATTGCATTATAATAATATTTTAATTATTGTTTATTTTTCAGAAATCTCCCGGAGCATTCAAACCCCAGATGTCTCCACATTCAGCGCGACCACCAACACCTGGTACTGCAGTAGGTCCTAGACTGTCACAAGCTGCATCAAGACCTCTGCAGAGTGGGACTAGAAACTCTACTGGTTTGGACTTCTCTCTGTCTCCATCGTTTTCTCAACGTCCTCCTCAGCAGACTCCTCCAGTATCCCACTTTAAGCCTAGTCAGAATATTTTCCAGTTTCCTGATCTGAATACTACAGCACCACCAAACAACACTGTCACAAGTTCTATGAGTCAAAATAATTTTCATATGCAGCAAACTAACAGTTCTGGTAGCAATAGCATCACCACCAACCCCATGACGCCGCAAACCAGCGCCACTGGTACTAACAGCATATTTACTAACACTATCATGCACCTTACTGGCATCTCTAGTAGCAGTACCATCACAGCCAATCTTGTGTTGCAACAGGGCTGCAGTGCTGCCTCAAGTGGCTCTGCTCAGCTGAACAACGCCACCAGACCCAGTACGACAATGGTCAATTCAATGATTTCGCAAACGAGCAGCACCGTTGCAAGCAGTGCCGTGGCAAATCAGATAATTGCTATGAGTCCGCAGACAGCCAATCAAATGATGTCTCCAAGTAGAATGTTGCAGTTCACCCAGTCTCCAGCAAACACAATAGCGTCTTCAAATCGGCAATCTCCAGCATGGGGGCGACAAATGAGTGAACCAGGGTCATTACTATTGGCACAGTTGAATGCTAAAAGTAGTCCCGTTGATACACAAGAAATAATGGGAAGTGCCAGTCAGCTGCAGAGAAGCCTGAGTACTGATCAGCAACAGCTGAGACCCAGCAGTCGAGAAGTACATAGTTCCCATCTTGTAAGTAATGAAACATCAAACAACTTTTCTGCTTCTTATTTTAGCCTTACCAGCCTTTTTCTCACATGTGTGATCCAATTCAGTTCAGAGTTGGTACAGACAGGAATTGATGGCGTACAGGTGCACATCAATTTAATTTTTGATTGGCAGCCTTTTTTGTCTCCAAAAATCTAGTCGTTACCAGCTTTTTCTCACATGTGTGATCCAATTCAGTTCAGAGTTGGTACAGAAATAGGAATTGATGGCGTACAGGTGCACATCAAGTTATTTTTTGATTGAATAAATTTTGAGTGGCTGGCAGCCTTTTTTGTCTCCAAAAATCTAGTCGTTACCAGCTTTTTCTCAGATATTTGTCTTTGAGTTCTGTTCAAAGTTGGTACAGGGACAGGTAATAATTGTTTACAAGTGCACACCGCGTTATATGTTGATAAAGTTATATATTTGGCTTTTCTGAGACAATTAATATTTTTTTACCCCATCCCCCCACCCCCTAAAATTGTTTCACATCAATTCTCAACAATTAATAATGAAACTTTAGTACAGCTCATGGAATAAATTTTCGCTGAAAAAGCATTTTTGGTGTTTTGTATGATATTTATTTTCACTGATTTTTGGCGAGTTGAATGTAAAATGTAGGAAAAAAGGTATATTCACTGGATTTTATTTTCACTGAATCATTCCTTCAGCGAAAGTAGCGAAAATAAATTATTTTACAGTAATTGGTATTTTGACTTCTGAGGGCCAGACTGCTTTAGCCGACAGCCTGCTTGCTTTTTCCTGGTATTAACAGATCAGATTGTTTCTATTAGTTGTTAATGCCTTGTGTACTCTTACAGTTGAGTGCTTCAAGCCAAGGAACATCAGCCACTTCTTCCCCTTTAGCATCAATAACATCACCACCAAGTGTATTGAATGACACCCCTAGCAGTATGAGTGAAACTTTGACGCCTAAGAAAGAGATGGATAAAAGTCTGAAAGCATCACCGTGCAGTCGTCCGAGTAATAACAGTGAGCAGTTCAATGTAGCTGTTGATATTGTTGACCAAGGTAATGTAATAGCCTCCTCCACTACCATGTACCACCATCCTTATCCATCATTTGATGAGACAGAGGACAATGAGAGCATGATGTTGGACTTTCCTTTTGACGACTTAACAGGTAGGCAGTAGATATTGTAGCAATCATTGTGCCATCCTAGCAGCATCACAATCTGATTCAAATAACATCTACATGTATTGTATGGGCTCTTGTTTGTATTTTTTTTTTGCACTTGCTTTTTAACCTTGCTGATCATTAGATGAAGGGAAATGTATATGAAGGGAATATGTCTGTCGTCTTCGTTGTCTCCAGCGTAAACTTTTTTCTTGTGGTTACAATAACTCAAATAGTTTTTATTGAATTTTTTCAAATGTTGGATAGCTTATTAACTATTTTGGGCTCTTGGTCACGTTCAGTTTTGGCTATTGTTGTTTGTATATTCTTGAAGATACTGTATTCTCTCTATTAGAAGCGCATCTCCATTTGAAGCACATATAAAACCCCTCAATCACTAAAATATATTGTCTTGTCTGATCATCTTCAAATTTTAGCAATCATGCAGAATAGCCCATCAAGTTCAATTTTGATATTATTATTATTATTATTATTATTATTATCTGTTGGAGCACTATATATATCAAAGTACTCCTACTAACCATAGGCACATATTTAAAAGCAATATACTCACATGGGTACAGGATAAAAAATCTAAGACATTCAAAATATTTGGGAATGAAATGAAAAGCACAATTCTGTAATCGATTAGAATTTTTGTAGCCAAGAAATTACAGAAAAACACAGTAAAATTAATTTTTACTGTTAAAGTTAATACATTTTTCATGTAATTATAATGATCTCATTGTTTGTGTTCCATTTCGGTAAAAAAAAAAAAAAATTCCCACCTGTAATTTTAGCCAGTATTTTCAGCCCTGCAAGGAAAATGCTGAATGAGGCAGCAAATTACATTGTTAATTTGTAACCCTTTTTTTACATGGTTTCTTTTGATATCTAGATTTGTTAACAGGCAAGGTTATTATAGTTACGCTATGTTCTGTTGTTGATGTAACACATTTTGTCAAAAAGAGAAATATAAACAAAAGCTGGTACATGTATCTTGAAATCATAATATGTGACGTTAAGAAACCGTCTCGCAGTACATCATCCTCTGCACCGCCTTTCTTACTTCATCTTGCGTCTTCATTCAACCCAAGTATCCTTGAAAAATCACAGTACGTGAACAATATTAATTGATATGTAGATAAAACAAGTGATGTAATAAATAAATCTGGAAATACCGAATTCACTCTGTTTGTAACACATTCGTTTTCGTAAATGATTGATTGAAGTCAGTGATCAAAATAAGTTGTGTTTTAATGATCCAGCTTAGAGTAAATGCAAATTGGTTTATGTCCCCATCTAGATGTGTTTGGTTGAGCAAATACGGTGTATGCTTCTGCCAACATTCATGTAAAAAAACAAACTACTGGGCATTCAAATCAAAAGTCGCATTTGTATATACTGAATCATTAAAATATTACTTATTTTGGCCACTGAAACACCATGTACGTAAGTACATATGCTGCTAACGGAGCAATTACAGTGTTGTATTCACTTCTGTCAAAATTCATATGAAAAAAAACACTATGTAATACAGCAATTTCTGTTTGGGATCCTAATTAGTGTTTATTCATTGCTTGTCATTGCTAAATGCTTGTGCTAGCAAAAATGACTTTACACAAGTCAGTATACTGTCATAGGTAGGAAAGCTAATTGCTTTGGTGTCCATAGCTGTACTGTAAGCTAGAAAATTATTTTGAAAATAAATGTGAATTCACCACCTACCTTTTAACAATGTATAATGCTGTCAAACCTTTTAAATTCAGTAACAAAAATGATACCAGGGAACCCAAAATCCTTTATTGTTTATCAATACATTCTTGGGAACAAAAAAAAAGCATAGTAGAACTTTGTCTATTAATGTTGAATCAGGTTATCCTGCAAAGCAACTTTGACTTGCATTTTTGACTGATATTCACAGTACAGCTGTTAACATCATGCTGCTTTATACCTCGCTTTGTGTAAAATCAGTAAGCACAACGTATTCACTCTTCAAAGTAAGGTAACTTGTTTCTAAACTGATTTAAATTATCTTCACCTTTTTTTACTTGTCTTTCTTTGTTATCTTTAACTTTGTACAAATCGTTATAAATAATTATTTTTAATATCATTTAACTGTTTTACACAACTCTGATGATTAGGTGAAATCAGATGATTGGATGAAATATTTCATGTTACACTTCAGATGATTGGATTAATTATTTCATGTTACACTTCAGATGATTGGGTTAATTATTTCATCTTACACTTCAGATGATTGGATGAAATATTTCATGTTACACTTCAGATGATTGGATGAAATATTTCATGTTACACTTCAGATGATTGGATGAAATATTTCATCTTACACTTCAGATGATTGGGTTAATTATTTCATGTTACACTTCAGATGATAGGATGAAATATTTCATGTTACACTTCAGATGATTGGATGAAATATTTCATGTTACACTTCAGATGATTGGATGAAATATTTCATGTTACACTTCAGATGATTGGGTGAAATATTTCATGTTACATTTCAGATGATTGGATGAAATATTTCATGTTGCATTTCAGATGATTGGATGAAATATTTTATGTTACACTTCAGATGATTGGATGAAATATTTCATGTTACACTTCAGATGATTGGGTTAAATATTTCATGTTACACTTCAGATGATTGGGTTAAAAATTTCATGTTACACTTCAGATGATTGGGTGAAATATTTCATGTTACATTTCAGATGATAGGATGAAATATTTCATGTTACACTTCAGATGATTGGATGAAATATTTCATGTTACATTTCAGATGATTGGATGAAATATTTTATGTTACACTTCAGATGATTGGATGAAATATTTCATGTTTCACTTCAGATGATTGGGTTAAATATTTCATGTTACACTTCAGATGATTGGGTTAAATATTTCATGTTACACTTCAGATGATTGGATGAAATATTTCATGTTACATTTCAGATGATTGGATGAAATATTTCATGTTTCACTTCAGATGATTGGATGAAATGTTTCATGTTACACTTCAGATGATTGGGTTAAATATTTCATGTTACACTTCAGATGATTGGATGAAATATTTCATGTTACATTTCAGATGATTGGATGAAATATTTTATGTTACACTTCAGATGATTGGATGAAATATTTCATGTTTTACTTCAGATGATTGGGTTAAATATTTCATGTTACACTTCAGATGATTGGATGAAATATTTCAGGTTACACTTCAGATGATTGGATGAAATATTTTATGTTACACTTCAGATGATTGGATGAAATATTTCATGTTTCACTTCAGATGATTGGATTAATTAGTTACCGTTCGGATGCAGTCCGAAAACGGGGACTTATGTTTTGACCTCCGTGTGTCCGTCCGTTCGTGCGTGTGTCTGTGCGTGCGTCCGGACCTGTATCTTAGAAATGCCTGGACCAATCACAATCAAACTTCACACATACATCATACATGATAGTATACATATGCACGTCAATTTGTTTCACGGTCTGATTCAAGATGGCCGAATGGCGGCCATTTGTGTGCTAAAAATCATCAAAAACAAGCATTTCTCAGCTGTTAACAGATGGATTTTGTTCAAACTTGGTATATACATTAGACATTATGGGACCTTGATGCAAATAATTTTGTTTTTTAGATAAGATTCAAAATGGCCGACTGGCGGCCATTTTGTTTTAATGAATGTGGTTTTCGTGCCATATCTCTGACTTGCTTTCACTGATTATGTTCAAATTTTAAATATTCATTATACATCATGTCATAGATAGACAGATATATTGGATTGACGATCCTATTCAAAATGGCCAAATGGTGGCCATTTTTGTGCTAAAAAATCATCAAATATCAAGCATTTATATATGAATTTCGTTCAAACTTGGTACATATGTTAGACATTACAGGTTCCTGATGCACATCATTTATTTTCAGATCGGATTCGAATGGCTGTCTGGTGGCCATTTTGTTTTAATGATTGGGCTTCTAGAGCCATATCTCTTAAATGCTTTGACTGATTATATTCAAATTTTATATATTAGTTATACATCATGTTATATATATACATGTATTTAAAATGGCTGATTTTGAATGCTGTTCCAGAGCAATATCCCTCAATATGGACAAGTACTTTTTGGACGATCAGATACAAATGTCAATCATTTTAATGTTAAAAAGTCATATTCCTGACATGGTTATATTCCAGCTATATTACTATAAACAAAACTATATATATCATAAATTTGATAACTAACGGGGACTGTGCCATGCATGGCTTGTTTTTTTTGAAAAACGCCTGACTTGAATAGGAGACCTTGTGATATGCAGTTTAGCCATTCAACGTGTGCATAGGAAACCATGTGATATATGCAGTTTAGCCAATCAACACATGTATAGGAAACCATGTGATATATGCAGTTTAGCCAATCAACACGTACATAGGAAACCATGTGATATATGCAGTTTAGCCAATCAACACGTGCATAGGAAACCATGTGATATATGCAGTTTAGCCAATCAACACATGTATATGAGACCATGTGATATATGCAGTTTAGCCAATCAACACATGTATAT